TCTTCTGCACCTCCTACAGGAAACTTTTACAGTTCATATTGAGATGAATAAAGTCCCTTGAACAGTAACAATGAATTTACAGAGTAATCATGCCTAGGACTCTTCAAATAGGTTGGTTGGGATAATCTGAGACCTTTAAATTCCTAAAAAAAAAAAAATAGAGATGCATCTTATTTTTAAAGGACCAGTGATAAGTCTCCAATTAGTTATGTTCATTTTGACTGAGGCAGATGAAAAAAAAAAAAAAAAAAGGTGGAGAGAGGAGGGTAAAGTCATATAAGAAAAAAAGAACTGAAAAAGTAATATAAGAAAAAAAGGAAAAAAACTTTTATGCTCAAAGGGCATAAAATATTGAATACATAGTTAGTAGAGATTAAACAAGCCTCTTGGTATTTTATTCATAAATATCTCAAATGATTTTAAATTGGTAGCAAGGGGACTTTCCTTATATTTGACAATTCACACAAACAAAAAATTGCTGGGCTGGCCCTATAGCACAGTAGTTAAGTACAGTACACTGGGAGCCAGATCCCACATGATTGATCATGGTTCAAGTCCTGACGCTGGTGGTATGAAAAACACTTGTGAGCATGTGTGCCCCAAATCCTGATGCGATAGAGAAGTGGAAGAAAAAGGCCCATGGCATGAATGCAATCCACTGGGAGGCTGGGAGTGGGGGTGGGGGTTCTCTCTCTCTCTTTCTCTCTCTCTGGAGAATGTATGCACCCTCTCACAATTTATTAAAAAAAAAAAAAAAAAAAAAAAAAAAAAAGGAGGGCCAATAAGTAGAGTGGTGGTTAAGGCATTGGGTCACCAGGTTTGAGTTTGAGACCAGGCAGCTGGCTTTCTCACTTTCCCTCTCTTTCTTTCTCTCTCTCTGTCTCTCTCTGGTGAGCATACATGCCCTATAACAAAAATTTTTAAAATAATAACAAATAAAACTAGAATCCGCAGATGGCATAATGGTTATGTCGCTGAACTCCTACATGGTTGACCATGGTTCAAGTCCTGGATGCAGCAGCTTGAAACTCATGCTGGGCACATGTTATGTGCATGCCCAAAATCCTTAGAGGAGAATGGAGGAGAGGGGATTGCAGTGTGGCCATCTCCCTGGGAGGTGATTTTTTGCTTTCTGTCTCTTTGTCTCTCTGCCTCTCTCGTGAATGCATGCACCCTAGAGCAAAGATTGCTCCCCCCCCAAAAAAATGATAATAACAAATAAAATTTAAATATTTTTTTAAAAGAAAAGGAACAATTACCAAAAAGAAAAAATCCCCAAGAGACTGTTGTTAGTTCTTTAGGAGCCATAGAACAGCTGTAAATGCAGCTAACTAATCCTTCAGTAGAGAGTGAATAATGACAAGTGTTCCCAAAGACATGAAGAAACTGGAACTCTCATAAACTCCTGGTGGGAACGTAAAATGATACAACCACTTTGGAAGTCGGACAGTTTCTCAAAAGTTAAACACAGAGTTACCATATGACCCAGCAATTATACCCTTAGGTATATATTCACAAAAAGTGAAAATATATTTCTATGCAATACTTTATAGATGTTGTAGCAAAAACTGATAATAAAAGTCCATGACCCATGACTGGATAAGCAAAATGGGGTATATCCGTACAGTTAGCAACAAAAGGAAATGAAGCAGCAGACATGCTACATTTTGCTATAGGACACGTGTCAGAGAGAAGGGGAAAGTAAGAAAGCAAGTTGCCAGGTCCTGGACTCAAACCCAGCATTTTTTAAAAAAATTTTTAAACATTATGCCAGTTGTAAATGACCGTATGTTGTATAATTCTATTTATATAAAAGTCAAGAGACTGTAGCATGATTATCCCCTATGAAGAGCACTCTCTCACTTTCTCCCCCTCATTGTGTCTCTCTCTGGCAACTATGCACTCCTCTAGCAAAAATTTAAAAAAACAAAACCAAAAAAAATCCGGCAGGATGTGAGCCTGGGACCTCCTGGGACCGCTATATCCTACAACTGGAATGATTCTGGTTTCCCTGCCTGTGGCAGGGAGCTAGTTAGAGAACAAGGTGCTCCTCGCTGCCTACATTCCTTAAAGTCACAGGGCTGACCTCCTACCAGTCATGCTTTATGCAAGAGATGATAAAGTTGCATGAAGCAATTCTGAAAGAAACCCATTTGGTGTCACTTTTTAAAATGTTTAGTGACTGACTTAGTGGAGGAGACCAAGGACAGGCGCTTACACCAACCAGTTATGGCGAGATGCTTCCCAGTAGATACAGAGGCAAAGTGGGTGGCGAGTGCAGGCCAGGCTGGCTGGCTCACAGCAGGCAGATTGGTCTTCCAGAAAAGGAAACACCTGGGATACCTGTTTAGCGTGTTGGGCACAGAAGACATCCAAACAATCTCCCATCCCTCTCCCTGCACTGGGACACACACTGTAAAGCACCCGTTAGTGCCAGACTTTTTAAAGAGGTTCTCTTCTTTAATCTTTGCACCAACCCTATCAGAGAGATGCTATTATTCCCATTTTATAGGCAAGGAAAAAACTCAAATCCAAACTGGCCCACCTTTTAGGAAGTTTTTCTAGGCTTCGGCATGGGCACCTGGAGGATTGTCTGGTCCCTGAACCCAAGCACTCTCCACACCACACAAGGTCTCCCTTTGCACAAGAGCAAGGGGCACCACTGCCTCTGCAAGTACTCAAGAGAATCCAGGGAAGAGGATTCCAGTGGCTTTGCGCATCCACCTCTCTTGCCCTAGGCCACCCCTGGCAGTTGGATGGATTTGTGGTCTAAGTCTCTGAAGTCAGAAGTACACAAAAATCCATCTGTCACTCACCAGGACAGACACAAACCTCAAGATAATTTGTTTTCCAATGGTTTCGGCTTAAAGTTCTGGTTTGGCATTGGCTTTTTTAACAACTAACAGCTGTAGGCAGTTTTCACACAGAATAGAGACATCAGTAAGGCAGAGAGATGGAATTTTCTCTCTGTGAATACAGAACACTGAGCTGTCTTCAAGATGCACATGGGACTGCCAGCACACAGGTTCCTGCTTAGGTCCCATTAAGGGAGGCTGCCAAAACATGACTGAAAGGACCACGAGTGTGAGATGCTCTGAAGGTCCTAGACCCTCCCCCCAGCTCCACTGCCATTGCTGAGGTCTTCAGCTATCAGCAACACCTATCTCCTTAGGTGGACGTTCAATTTTAAAATACCTTGAGTGGGAAATAAAACCACACCTATAAATGCATCATTACTGACCCCTTGATAGCCATCATGGTTGGATGATTCACTGCCCCGCCTTGGGAGTGGACTATGTATCCTCGACCTGCCCCAATGACTTCAGGCTTGGCTGTGTGACTTAGGTGCCAGTCCTAAGAGAAGGATGACACCTCTATGAAGTCAAGTGTGGCCGTGTTACTTTTGTGGGCCAGTGAAATGTGGGCACAAGTGACATGTGCCATTTTCTTTTTTTGGAGAGGTTTTTGCTACAGGGTGCCTGCACTCACCAGAAAGACAGAGACAGACAGAGAGAAAGCGAGAAATCAACCCCCCCCCCCCCAGAGGGACGGCCACGCCACAATCCCTTCTCCTCTATTCTCCTCTCAGGATCTTGGGTATGCACACACACATCCCTGGTGTGAGTTTAAGCCACCAGGTCAAGGACCCGAACTACTGTTGACTACATGGGAGTCCAGTGACACAGCCGTTATGCCAACTGCTGGTCCCAACGTGTTCTTTTCAAGCATAAGCTGAAAGGCTACTAGTAGTTCACTGAGTCTGTCTTTTCTCTTCCACCAGGGCTGGGTCTTGCAGAAGTTGAGGAGGAGCAGAACCAGAGCTTATCCACACTGAACACACAGCAGTAGCAAGAGATCAGCCTCTGCTGTTGAAACCACTGGGGCTGTACTATCACAGCACAACTTAGCTTAGGATGACTGGGATGACCGTTCAGCGATCCCCACATAAAGTACAAACATGCTGCCGACAGTCTTCCTTTTCCTAACCAATTCTGATCAGTAATGGGCCTTTCACTCCACTCAGGAGACCAGAACTCCAACACCAGCTTCACAGGCTCTCTCATATTGCTGCATCTGTTTGCTTTAGAAATAAATGCTCGTCCTAAGAGCTGGAATAATGGGCATTTCAGGCCTTGTCCCTGGAGAGCACTGATACTGCCCACCTTACTTTCTTGACCTAAGAGTCACAAGAAATGACAGCACTCTCTAGCACTTGGTGAACAATGTAAATGGTCTGATTACAAATGACTCCAATACTAAATACTAGTGGTGAGCAAACGTGATAGTATCATGTACCATTCCCTGAGCACTCTGTGGGCCAGTCATTGGGCCATTCCCACTGGGTAGTGTTCTTATTTAAATATTACATCAAAGCTAGGAGGTTTTCCGCCTTCACTTTCCAGGAAACAGGCAGACAAAATCAGAACAGTAATTTGAACCAAGGTCTTCCCAACTCGTATGCTAGCACACTGGGGCTAGTATCCTCTGGAACACAGACGGAAAGAAGCACTGTTTGGAGACTCTTGAAAAGCTAGGTTGGAGTGTACTTATGTCCCTTGATGAATGGGTCCTGCCCTAGATATATCACCTCATTGGAAGATAGTACATTCTAAAATATGATAGCATCTATAAAAACTTTCCCACACCAGTTATTATTCCAGTCCTGTCATTAGGCTAAGTAATGATACTGTACTTAAGTAATAATGTCTTTCACCAAAGGATCAAGGACAGGAGGGGAAGTATGACTAATTATTTAAATTTTTAAGAAGATATTAATACTGTAAATTAGGAGTGGTTGGGAGCACTGGGGAACCTTAGAAGGTATGAAGCCTTTGCTCTACAGGCTCAGTGCTGACAGAGGGGGTACAGAAGGGAAGGATCAATGGGGGGGACATTTCCAAAAAAAAAAAAAAAGTCTATGTAAACCAAACCAACTCATCCTCGTCCTCTCTTTTCCTCCCTGCTGGCCCCCGACAATGCTGCAATAGAATAGGACTCACCACAAGTTCACTGAACATGACGTCCAATTCTTCCACAGGGGGCATGGGCAATGCTGGCTCCATGGTCTGAAGTGCGAAGTTGCTATCGTTTCGCAGCCGATATGTGATTTCTGGGTGGTCATTATTTCGGAAACAGCAAAAGATGAATGAAATCCCCCGTCCACTCCTCTTCCTTGGGGCCATGGCTGGATTCTGTGCTATTTCTTGATGTGACTAAACTCTGTAAAACGAAGACATGACATGGTGAGAGTGCAAGAATACAGAAAACAATTTTTTGAAAAGTCTGACCAATTCAAGAAAGAGAACCCCATGCTGGAGGCAATGTCTGTGCCCTTCAGGACCCAGAGAAAATGACCCCAAATGGGCCTGAAGTCCTGCTGGGCAGAACACACACTCCTTCTACTCACTTGCTGGATGTTTCCACAACCAACTGCTGAGTAAACAAGACGACGCTGGCACCTGCCCCACAGCATGTCTAACCACAGTGATCTACTGGGCGTTCTTTGTATATCACACTCTCTTCCCTGATAACCTGCTTTGTTTTTGTTACTTTCCCCAAAAGAATGACCTTCTCTCCCTTGCCTCCTGCAAGATCTTTCATTCATCCTCTAAAGCCTGATTCCCACTTCTCCTTCTTTACTTTCCCTAAGGTAACTGTGGTTTGAATCCCCAGCCTGGGTCAGTCTGAAACACACCAGACACATGCAAGTGCCCAAGATCTGACAGGCTGGGAGACTGGAGGAAGGGGATCATGGCATGAGCAGACCATGCGGAGGGCGTTCTCTCTCTCTCTCTCTCTGCATGAGCAGACCATGGTGAGGGTTCTCTCTCTCTCTCTTTCTTTGAGTGTGCATTCACACTTTCATAAATAAAGGAAAGAAACAAGAAAGATAGGATTAAAGAGAAAGAAGAGGGACAAGAATTGGCCCTTTAAGAGATGGAAGGGCAGAAGAGAAGAAATGCACCTCAGGCAGGGAAGGTAGCAGAAATAAAGGCACAGATATATTATTTATACACTTAAAAGTAAAAGCATAGACACAAAATAGAAACGAGAAGGGAGCATGTCAACATTTAACAATGGTTAATTGGGAGCAATGAGAAAGTGGCTGTCTTCTTTGAACTTCTTTTCCTTCCGTTGTAAAAGTAACACCCAATCCATGGACATATGACATCTTAGAAATCAGAGAACTCAATTCCAAACTCTATCACTAATTTCTTGATTTTGTAATTATTTGATGATATATGCTCAGATAAGTTCTCATAAACAACTATGATTTGTAAACATTCTTAGAGTCAAGCCTCTGAAACTGGAAGTCTCTTGGGGAGAGAGAGAGAGAGCATGCGCAAAGGTGAAAAGTGAGGTGTCCTTCATGGAGTCCTAGATGCTGCTCTAACTGGCTCTGAAATAAAGATTGAGCCAAGAGGTTGAATATGCCGTTCTCTTGGGGCACACATTTCCTTGCTTAGGGTGAACTTCTTTAAGGCCATACAACACAAGAGCAGCACTTGGGATTCCTTTGGCAAATGTGTATTAATACCTAGAGTGTACCAGGTGCGATGGTAGGCACTCAAGGATACAGAAATGAAGGGGTCACTAGGAGTTTATCATTCTGGTGAGAGACAACAGCACACTAAATCCTATCAGTAAGTGCTAGGTAAGCTGAGCAGGAGTGTCTGGAAATGCCCCCGATGAATGAGCAGAAAACATGGGAAGCAGGCACTGGAACAGTGCAAGCAAAGGCATGAGGTGGAAGGCACCTGGTGTGCAGGGAATGAGTGACCCATTCATTGGATGTTACACCCTGTGGTATAACATCGTCCCCCCGTGAGTTCTCACCTCCCTGCTCAAATCTGTCAATGGCTCCCCAGTAGCATTCGGAATCAGCTTTCATGTCCCATCTAACTGGATTGAATTAAACTTTTCCATCCTTCCTATTTCCTTAAAAGTATCCTATACTTCACTCAACTGACCACTTTCCATGCCCCATAATCATCTAACTCGTCTCACCTTCCACCCAAGTGGTCCATGTCTTACTACCTACACTTAATCTTTCTCAGCATTCTCCCACCCTGACGGTATCAATCTCTAGAGATTCAGTGAGCCACGTCTGCTGCTAGTGGTAGCTGAAATTTGGTTCAATGTTTCTAAAGGGCAAATTTATCAAAACCTTAATATAGCCTTACATTTTGACCTACTACTTCTACTTTGGAATATTTCCTAAAGAAATATTCAGAGATACTATCACAGAGGTTTCACAAAGAATCGGTAAGCATTATCTATAGTAGCAAGTGAGTGATAGGATAAAATAAGTGCTAGTAATGGAGAACTATATGAAAAGAATAAGTCAATTGTGGGCCAACTATTAATAGATGATAGGCCACTAAGCCATGTCTTATTAAAAAACTATTTAATGACATGGAGATACTCTCACCAAATAATAAAAAGAATAGACAATGTCCCTTTTTTGCTAAAAAAAAAAAAAGTTTACATAGACAAGCAGGAAAAAAAGACAAGAGAAACACATCAAGATATGAGCAGCAGTTAACTTTGCGACAGATGTGTGAGTGACGTTGTTTGCTTGAAAAAATAAAATACTCATCTATACTTTCCAAGTTGTTATAAGGCACATCACTTTCACAATTAATACAATTAGATGATAATTTTTTTTTAATGTAGAGAGAGATTTTTGCTCTAGGGCATGTACGGTTGCTAGAGAAACAGAAAGTGAGAAATCACCCCCCCCCCCCCCCGGGGGGGGGGTCCACGCGCAAGTAAAAGCATAGACACAAAATAGAAACGAGAAGGGAGCATGTCAACATTTAACAATGGTTAATTGGGAGCAATGAGAAAGTGGCTGTCTTCTTTGAACTTCTTTTCCTTCCGTTGTAAAAGTAACACCCAATCCATGGACATATGACATCTTAGAAATCAGAGAACTCAATTCCAAACTCTATCACTAATTTCTTGATTTTGTAATTATTTGATGATATATGCTCAGATAAGTTCTCATAAACAACTATGATTTGTAAACATTCTTAGAGTCAAGCCTCTGAAACTGGAAGTCTCTTGGGGAGAGAGAGAGAGAGCATGCGCAAAGGTGAAAAGTGAGGTGTCCTTCATGGAGTCCTAGATGCTGCTCTAACTGGCTCTGAAATAAAGATTGAGCCAAGAGGTTGAATATGCCGTTCTCTTGGGGCACACATTTCCTTGCTTAGGGTGAACTTCTTTAAGGCCATACAACACAAGAGCAGCACTTGGGATTCCTTTGGCAAATGTGTATTAATACCTAGAGTGTACCAGGTGCGATGGTAGGCACTCAAGGATACAGAAATGAAGGGGTCACTAGGAGTTTATCATTCTGGTGAGAGACAACAGCACACTAAATCCTATCAGTAAGTGCTAGGTAAGCTGAGCAGGAGTGTCTGGAAATGCCCCCGATGAATGAGCAGAAAACATGGGAAGCAGGCACTGGAACAGTGCAAGCAAAGGCATGAGGTGGAAGGCACCTGGTGTGCAGGGAATGAGTGACCCATTCATTGGATGTTACACCCTGTGGTATAACATCGTCCCCCCGTGAGTTCTCACCTCCCTGCTCAAATCTGTCAATGGCTCCCCAGTAGCATTCTGAATCAGCTTTCATGTCCCATCTAACTGGATTGCATTAAACTTTTCCATCCTTCCTATTTCCTTAAAAGTATCCTATACTTCACTCAACTGACCACTTTCCATGCCCCATAATCATCTAACTCGTCTCACCTTCCACCCAAGTGGTCCATGTCTTACTACCTACACTTAATCTTTCTCAGCATTCTCCCACCCTGACGGTATCAATCTCTAGAGATTCAGTGAGCCACGTCTGCTGCTAGTGGTAGCTGAAATTTGGTTCAATGTTTCTAAAGGGCAAATTTATCAAAACCTTAATATAGCCTTACATTTTGACCTACTACTTCTACTTTGGAATATTTCCTAAAGAAATATTCAGAGATACTATCACAGAGGTTTCACAAAGAATCGGTAAGCATTATCTATAGTAGCAAGTGAGTGATAGGATAAAATAAGTGCTAGTAATGGAGAACTATATGAAAAGAATAAGTCAATTGTGGGCCAACTATTAATAGATGATAGGCCACTAAGCCATGTCTTATTAAAAAACTATTTAATGACATGGAGATACTCTCACCAAATAATAAAAAGAATAGACAATGTCCCTTTTTTGCTAAAAAAAAAAAAAGTTTACATAGACAAGCAGGAAAAAAAGACAAGAGAAACACATCAAGATATGAGCAGCAGTTAACTTTGCGACAGATGTGTGAGTGACGTTGTTTGCTTGAAAAAATAAAATACTCATCTATACTTTCCAAGTTGTTATAAGGCACATCACTTTCACAATTAATACAATTAGATGATAATTTTTTTTTAATGTAGAGAGAGATTTTTGCTCTAGGGCATGTACGGTTGCTAGAGAAACAGAAAGTGAGAAATCACCCCCCCCCCCCCCCCCGAGGGGGGATGGTCATGCCGCAATCCCTTCTCCTCCATTTTCTTCTTGGGATTTTGGGTGTGCACGCACACACCCTCAGTGTGAGTGTAAGCCATTGAGTCTAGGACTCAAACACAGTCGGCTATGTGGAAGTCCAGTGACGTAACCACTACACCTTCTGCTGGTCCCTACATGAGTTAAAAAAAACAAAACCATTTATATAGTTAATGGCTTATACTAGAAAGGGAAATAATTATGCAGAAGTATTCCTACAGGGCCTGCAGGTGTCACATTGGGCTCTCAACGCATATGCAGGACCCTAATGGGATACAGAACTGGAAGTAAAAGGATTACAGCATGACCAGAAACCATTGAAAGTTTCTCTCCCATGCATGTGCACATGTGACCTATCATGAATAAATGCAAAAAATAATTTTTTAAAACATTTCCCAGAAACAAAAAGTTATCTGTTGATGATAACATATATGGTAATATATATGACTTGACTAAAATGCCCTGGACTTACAATGGGGAAATACCATTTTGTATGCTAAAAACATGTACAGTGGTTAAATGCAAATTTTAAAATATTATAATAAAAAGTTCCTATAAAAAAGTATGGTGATCTGCACACCAGCTTCTCCAGTTACCTGAAGTGAAGGACTAGCTATTTTCCCTCTAATCTATTATAAACTGACATTTTGTAAAATTTAGTACAAATATCTTAGTCATGTCAAAT